TCAAATGTTGGAGAGGATGTGGAGAAAAGGGAACCATCATTCATTGCTAGTGGGAATGCAAACTGGTGCAGCCACTATGGAAAACAGTATGGAGATTCCACAAAAAATTAAAAATAGAAATACCTTATGATCCAGCTATCCCACTACTGGGTATTTATCCAAAGAACCTGAAATCAATAATCCAAAGAGGCTTATACACCCCTATGTTCATTGCAGCATTATTCACTATAGCCAAGAAGTGGAAGCAACCCAAGTGTCCCTCAAGAGATGATGGGATAAAGACGATGTGGTATATATATACAATGGAATACTACTCAGCCATAAAAAAAGACAAATCGTCCCATTTGCAACAACATGGATGAAGCTGGAGGGTATTATGTTAAGCGAAATAAGCGAGACAGAGAAAGACAAACACGGGATGATTTCACTCATATGTGGAAGATAAACTAACACTCAGACAAAGAGAACAGTTTGGTGATTACCAGGGAGGTGGGCACAAGGGGTGAAGGGTTGCATTTATATGGTGACTGACAAAAAATAATGTACAACTAAAATTTCACAATGTTATAAACTATTATGACATCAATAAAAAAAATAAAATAAAATTTAAAAAAGGAAATACTGTCATTTACAACACCATGGATGAACTGGAGGGCATTATGGTAAGTGAAATAAGCCAGACAGAGAAAGACAAATACTATGGTATTTGTGATACCATGGTATCACTTATATGTGGAATCTTAAAAAAAAAAAAAAAAGTCTAACTCATAGAAACAGAGAGTAGAAAAGTGGTTGCCAGGGCTGTGTGGGAGGGGAAATACAGAGGGGTTGGTGAAAGGGTACACACTTTCAGCTATTAGATGAATAAGGTCTGAGGATCTAATGTATAACATGATGACTACAGTTGATAGCACTGTATTGTATAATTGAAATGTACTGAGAGTAGAACTTAAATGTTCTCACCAAAAATAAATAAATCAATACATGAGGTGATGGGTGTGTTCGTTAACTCGATGGGAAGAATCCTTTCACAATGTACATGTATATCAAAACATCACGTTGTACACTTTAAATATCTTACAATTTTATTTGTCAATTATACTCCAATAAAGCTGAAAAAATATGATTTACGTGAATAAAAAATAATTTTTTTATTTTTAATAAATAAATATTTTTTAATTTCCCAGTTTTCGTTTCTATTACAGTAAATATTGACACATACAACTCACATAAACAAAAGCTCTTTGGAGTCCTCAATAATTTTTAAGAACATATAGGGGCCCTGAGACAAAAGTTTGAGAATCCTGCCCTAGTTTATTTACCTCCTCCCCCATTTAGGTTGTTCTCTTATTTTTTGCTATAAGCAATGCTGTAATAAACACGGTTGTACATATCTCTTTGTGCACAATACAAGAAAATCTTTTTAGTTAGGGGAAAACATTCTAAATCAGGGGTTATCCTAGGGGGCTCTGATTTGTGGATGGGGAGAAAGGCAGAGTAACGGCATCTGACACTAGATGCAGATAAACCGGGAAGTCCCCAGTGTGCTGTTGTCAGCAGAAAGTATGGTCAGAAAGGCTATGCTGACCCACTGTGACAGGACCTGCAGAATTAGACACGGTGACGCTGGCACGGGCAAACAGAACACACTGCCGACAAAATGAGAACATTAAGACTGTCAGCACCTCAGTTTCCCCATCTGTCAAATGGAGGTGAGGATACCATCCAGCATTACTGCAGTGGTTCAGTCAGGTAATATCTGAGCATACCAGGCATTGATCTGGTGGTAACTCCCTTGCCCCCTCTTTTTCCCTACATTACATAGCTGACTCCAATACTTCTGTCCCCTCTATGCTGGAACTGAGAAAAGGCCCCGTCCCAGACTCACCCCTAGGGCTGCAGTGAATGACAGACAGAAGGCAGTCTCTTGCCTTACAAAAGCGCAGAGAAGGGAATCTGGTGCCATCACCCCCACACTCCTTTTTGGAAGGGGGCTTCCATTTTCACTAAAGTTTTAACCTATTTCCCAGCCTGTACCTGCCTGAGACTTCCTGAAGCCACTCCCCGCCAGGCTTCCTTCCCTCTGCCTCTCAGATCTGAGAAGCCAACTCTGCAACCTAATGGGCAGAGCAGTAGGTTTACGACTGCCCCAGGGGGCAATCAGGGCAGATAGCCAGGCCCCTTGACAGAGCTCCCCTCTGATTCCCATCACCCAGGTCCTGCCCCAAGGAAAATTACTCAGAGAGCAGCTCTCTACGCAGCCACCACTTCCTACTAACCCCCATGGGCAAAAAGCTCCAACCTCCTCTTCTAGGAGACTCTACCTTAACTGAAGGTCTGTTAATCCCTGTCTACCCCAAGGCTCCCCAGTTGAGTGCAGTTCAGGCCCCTGGAAATTACAGGTCATTAATGGAAAGATTGATGCTCATCCTCCAAGGCTACATACCAAGGACGTTCAGGAGTTTTTACCCTCAACCTTCTCTTTCCTGAGGATATATTCTTCATGTCAGCCCTAGATATTGACTCAGCAAACTGTTGCTGAGTCATAAATTGTTTTTCTGAGAATCAGTAAGGTGTTCATTTCACAATGCAATATACAGAAAGTCCCCAGGACTCTGCTCGCCCTTGGTGCTCCCCACCCTGCCACCTCCCTGCTGCTCCTTACTGGGTTCCCAGCTCCAGGTGTGTCAATTAAGTCAGCCTGCCCCTGAACCCCACACAGTACACAAAAATTAACTCAAAGTAGAGCATAGATTTAAAGGAAAAACATGAAACTATAAAACTTTTAGAAGAAAACATAGGAGAATCATCCTTAGCCTGTTAATATGATAAATTTCATGAATTGATTTTTGAATATTGAATGAGCCTTGCGTCCTTGGTTAGTCATGATGTACAACGATTTTTATATATTGCTGAATTCTATTTGCTAATATTTTGTTAAGGGTTTTTGTATCTATATTCATGAGGGATATTTGGCTGTAGTTTTCTTTTCCTTTCTTTTTTTTTTTTTTTTTTTGTACTGTATTTGTCCAGTTTTAGTATCAAGGTAATACTAGCTTCATAAAATGAATTGGGAAGTTTTTTCCACCTCTTTCATTTTTCTGGAAGAAATTGTGTAGAATTGGTCAAATCTATCTAGTATACTCCAAAAGGAAACAGGTTCTTTCTCTCTCTCTTTCTTAACAATAGTTAATGATTATCTTGGGGAGGCAAGCCACTTATCTAATATAAAGTTCAACTCTGCCCTATTTGTTTTTATATTTCTGTAATACTGATAGAGATTTTACTATGCGCCAGAAACTATTCTGAGCGCTTTGTAAAGATTGTTTTAATCCTCATACAACCATTTGAGGTAGATACCATAATTATCCCTATTTTACAGATGAGAAAACTGAGACACAGAGAAATAAAGTTACTCGCACAAGGTCACACAGCTAGTAAGTGGCAGAGTTGAGATTTAAACCCAGACATTTGTTCTCTTAGCCACAATACTCCTCTGCCTGTGGTGACGTTAGTATTATAGACAGTGTCCAACTTAGATTATTCCGGTTATGATTTTTCAACTCTACAGTGGTGGGAAAGCAATACACGTTTCATAGAAACCATACTTGGAATTTTGAATTTTGATCTTTTCCCCGGCTAGCAGTATGTGGTACAATACTCTTGTGGTGCTGGGCCGAGGCAGCCAGCAAAGCTCCCAGCCAGCCACGCGATCGTGAGAGTAAACAACCAATACACTGACAACCATTCTATACCCAGACAACCATTCTGTTTGTCACTTTCAGTACAGTATTCCATAAATTTCATGAGATATTCAACACTTTATTATAAAATAGGCTTTGTGTTCGATGATTTTGCCCAACTGTAGGCTAATGTAAGTGTTCCCAGCACGTTTGAGGTAGGCTGGGCTAAGCTAGGATGTTCGGTAGGTTTGGTGTATTAAATGCATTTTCGACCTAACGACATTCTCAAATTAGAGTGGGTTTATCAGGATGTAACTCCATCGTATGTGGAGGAAGATCATATTTTCATACTCTAGACAAAAAAACTGAAGATAAGAGAGCTTAAGTGATTTGCACAACTGAACATCGCCAGAGTAGAATTCTTGATTCCCACCTGCCCCAAAACCTGGCTTTCCATGTCTCCCCATCTCAGGAAGGAGTTCCAGCCCAAAATCAGAGAGTTGCCTTTGAGTTTTCTCTTCTCTTACCTCCTGCATCCAACCCATCAGCAACTCTGTTGATTTTACCTCCAGAGCACGTGTCAGATCCTCTCCTTCTCTCCATTTCTACGGTCCTCTCCCACCTGAGCTATCAAAGCAGCAGCCTCCTGACTGACCTCCATTCTACTCCTAAACCTTCATCAGCCATTCTCCCGCCACCTTGCAGCTCGAATTATCTTTTTAAACACAAATCTCCTCTGCTTAAAACCCTCCAATGTCTTCCTATTGCCCTTAGAATCAAAACTTAAATTCTTACCCTGAATTGCAAAGCCCTGCAGGATCTAGCCCCCAAGTATCTCTCAGACCGCCTCATATGCGCTCCCCTTGACCCACATGCTCCAGCCCACCGGCCTTTGCTCTGGCCTGCCCTCACAGCCTTTGCATTTGCTGTTCCCTGAAAGCTCTTCCCCCAAATATTTCATGGCCACTCAATGTCACCTCCTCCTAGAGACTTTCCCTGACCACCTGGTACAAGGTACCACCAGCAGCACACTCTCCCACCATTCTCTTTTGTTTTCTTTATAGCACTTATCACTGCCTAATATTTTTCTCTTGTTTATTTGGTTATTACCTCTCCTACTAGAACGTAAGCTCCGTAAGCTAATAATAATAAGTAATGCTTATGTAGCTCTTATTCTGTGCCAGGCACTGTTCTAAGCACTTTTACACATGTAAATTCATTTAACCCTCGCCACAATCGTAAAAGCTGCACTATGAACATGTCCATGTTTCAAAGGATAAAGCTCAGGAACAGAGAGGCAGAGTAACTTACCTACAGTCACCCAGCTTGCAAGCAGGGAAGTTGGCACGCAAGCTTCAGATGCAGGCAGCTGGCTGTGGAGTGTGTGCTCTTAACCCTCCTGCTTTACGGCCCTCGTGAGAGCAGGGCCCTTATTTGTATTGTTCTCTGCCACATCTACAGCACCCAGTAACAATGCCTGGCAGAGAGGAGACACCAATAAATATTTATAGAATAAACAAATGAATGTCACGTAAATGGCTTCAAGACAAGACTGCCTCTGAGCCAGGTTGGTCTGACTCCAAACCCATACTCTCCAGAGTATGGGGATTGGAGGATTGCAAAGTTCAAACCAGAAATTTATTGAAACTTGCCCTCTATGCTATAGAAGCTCATCGTCTGGTGGGAAATGCACCTGTAAATAATAACTATAATGTAAGGTAGAAGAATTTAAGTGCCACAACTGAGGGGCATACAAAGTGCCATGGGAGCTCCGGTCAGGGATTAATAACTTTTAACTGGGAGGTCAAGGAAGGATTGATAGTGAAAGTGGCATTTGTACTGGGTTTTGAAAAATTTAGGGCCGGCCCTGTGGCTTGGTGGTTAAGTGCGCGCGCTGCGATGCTGGCAGCCCGGGTTCGGATCCCGGGTGCGCATTGAGGCACCACTTCTCTGTCCATCCTGGGGCCGAGTCCCACATACAGCAACTAGAAGGGTGTGCAGCTATGACATACAACTATCTACTGGGGCTTTGGGG